CCCCAAAACCCCAAAACCCCACAGAGAAACATAAATAAGTAGTTTTAAACCAGAAATTTTTTCTTTAAGAAAATAAATAAATAGCCATGACTATGAAAAATCAGTAATTCAAGATTCGAGATAAAAACTAAATTTCATCGATTGTGACTTATCGCCATATTTCTTATCCTTTAGTTAAAATGTTGTGCTCACTCTCGTAAAATTTAATCTCAATCTAATCTTTAGAAGTCTCAAACTATTCCAAAGTAGATAACACATCTTAATTATCAACAACTGAATCGTTACTAGCTAAAGCAACGAATACAGGCTCAGTTACCTCTTTATAGAAATCCCTTAAATACTATGGTATATTCATGTACTATTACTGAGATCTTGCTGTATACGGACCACGAAAACTGATTGGATCATCAATAGGTTTAATAGAGGAAATCTTAGTTTGTGAAACTATTTTATTGGGCTCTGTCTCGCATAATTTGTCTAGCAATTCTAAATATTCAGGATCTTTTACTTTTCTCCCAAAAGCAGGTGCCTGCCAAACAAAAGCTGAGAATAAATTAGCATTGCAGTCGAGCTTATGTTTTCTCTGTGCTGTTAATGCTGCTCTAGCTCCAAGACTATAGCCATAGTTTATGATTGGTATTGGTGACTCTAAATCTAAGTAAAGATTATTGTAGTAATCAGAGACTTTAATTGTAAACTGACGCACATCCTCAGAATAATCTTCAAAGGAATTTATTACTCCTCTTTCTCCCTCACTGTAACCAAACCCAAGACTATCATAGCCAACGAAATCATAGCCTTAATCTGAGAAAGTTTTTGCAATATAAGAGTGTTTAAGTAAATAAGCACCCAAGCCATGAGTATAAATAATTACAGCTTTAGGTGGGTGAGGCTTGTATTTTTCTCCTCTCTCATATTAATATGTCTTTAGTCTACTTTTGTTGTCATGCACAGAAATTAGTTCTAAGAAATCAAGTTTTGTCCAAGTTTCATCATTACTTTCTTGAACTTATTGTTGATTTTCCATTGTTTACTTTTATTAATATAAGATAAAATAAATAATATAGTTTATAAATTGAAGCTATATTTTGCTAATAATTATAATCAGAGTAAGCACTATGGGGTTTTGGGGTTTTGGGGTTTTGGGGAGATCGGAAGAGCACA